GTTACTTGTATTTCAAATTCAGTATTGTTTTACATCAATAATACTTATAGAATAGAACTTAGAATAACACTCGTTAGTGGCAATCATTAATTTGTCGTATTGCATATTTTTTATACTTCTTATACCGTTTTTTCGGAGAAAATACTTTCTTTAGATTTAATATTCGTACTTGATTAATTTTGTGGTTTTTTTTATTTCATTAAAATATTATATTCTTAAACGAAATATCATTTTTGAAAATGATGAAAATAAAACTTTTATTTCGTTCAAGAAAACCATGTCATTTGATGAAACAACACTATTGTTTTAAATAATATTTTTTAAAAGTTTCTCTCAAAATTTAGTAATTCGATTTGTTTAATTTGGATTTTCTTGGATTTTTTAATTTTTTTTTGTTGGATTAATCATTATAACATTTTGTTAAAAATGTAAAAGTAATTATCACTGGTTCACTACATTACATCAATATTTATCGCATATCGAGTGTTGCATTGTTTCAATATCTATCTACAAATTATCCAATAAACAAGTAAAAATTATGTAACTATTATTTGGTGTTTGCTAGATATGTTATAATATACTGTGAACAATATGAAGGGTCATCTACAATGGCTGTAAGCATATGGCTGTAAGGTTGTAAGGTTACCTTTGGTCACATTAAAATTTTCTTAAAACAGTGTTGTCTACAATGGCTGAAAGATGTAAGGTGGAAAAAGAAGAACTCAGTACGTTGACAGATTTATTCAGAATTTATTATTAGTTTATTTGTTTATAGTTATTCCTTATATTTGTAACGAGACACCTGTCCCGCTACCGTTTCCTCTTAATTGAGTTGTAAAACGTTAGTTATATCGAGTATATGTTCCTATAGTTTGTGTAACCCTTATCGTTCCTATAGTTTGTATAGTTTTCTAGTGTATATAGTTTTTTGTTGTTTATATAGAGTATATAGTTTACCAATGTTACGCCGAACAGATATATATATATATATATATATATATATATATATATATATATATATATATATATATATATAT